CTAAACTACAAGGAACAAGAGAAATGAAAAAGAATGGGTTTTACAAATGTATTTTCATCATCTCATAATTCTGGATGAAGATGAGGAGTTGCCATCCTTTTATCAAGCATTTTGAAAAAACATTTGCGATAAGAGATAAGGAGGGGTGATTTATTTCAATAAGGGAAAACATTGAGGGGAATTCAATTACGCTGCTAAATGTGTATGCAGCATCTGGTAGCGATATCCATTTCTTCAAGAAAATTGAATTCGAGCATACTGAAAGATCCCCACATTAAAGAGCAGAGCCGCTTTTATTTGGAGACTAATGACAATGGTGACGTGCGCCCGATATTCCATGGGATGAAAAAAGCAGCTCTAAAAGGAAGAATCAGAGTATCAAGAATCAAGTAAACAGCTGCTGGACATGTTTGCGAGGGAAGAAACAAACAAATATAGAGGCATTATTTCTGGCGTATACAATGGGCTTAAAAGCATGGAAATACATTCAACTCTATATCGTTAGCTTCATAGCATAAGTGCCTAAGTCATTTTTTTGTGATGACATAGGCAGACGGACAGGATGATGCAGCAGTGGTAGGGGAGTAAAGTTAGGCAAAAATCTCAATTTGACCAAAAAATGACTTAGGCACTTATGCTATGAAGCTAACGATATATTAACGTAAAGTGGGAAATGGAGGGAGGAAAAATGGACAACATTATGGACATATTGATGGAAATGTAGTATAGCGAGATATTTTATTACCCCTTACCAAATATCTTGCTGTGAGGGCAATTCACTGGGGAAATACTAAAGCAAATCATAGTCATGTCTTCTGGGATTGTCCTGGTAGTGGCAGGAAATACACAATGCAATACAACTTTAGGAAGTCATCTGCCTTTGGAGAGTAAAGTTAAATCTTTTGGACTAATGCCTGAAGGATGGCCAAAGAGAGACAAATATCTGTTTATTATTTTGTTGGTGGCAGCCAAGAGAGCCATTACAAAAAATGGCTCTCACAGAAAGCCCAACTCTGAGCATGTGGATGGACATCACAGTAGACATTTACAGGATGGAGAGAATGACAGCAGACGCCAGTTATAAGAGGAACCTGTTTGCTTGATGCTGGAAGAAATGGATGGACTGTCTGATACTACACAGACCGGACATTGACCTTGGATTGTACTAGTCTCGAATCGGACTTGGTGTAATAACAATTTCATGTCCATTAATGTTCCTATTTTTGTTTTAGGGGTTTTTGTTTGTTTTTTTTTGTGGGTCATACATGTAAAAAAAAACAGGACATTTAGGCTTTTACTTTGTAACTACTGATTAAAATGAAAGTGCACAGTATATTGATTGCTGAATTTCAATAAAAAGTCAATAACAAACACTCTTCTGTGTTATATTGCACTGTGGTGTATAATGATCAATTTATACAGCACTTTTCTGCTCTTTCTGGGGTGACTGTAGCTCCGGAGGCAGAACAGATCATCTATTAATTTGAACATTGGTGGTTCAATCCCTGGCTGCTCCAGTCATGCCAAATATCCCCTTTCAAGATACTAACCCGAAGTTGATCACTAACACATCCATCGGAATGTAAATGTGTGTGGATGTTAAAAAGAAAAGAAAAAAGTGCTTGTGTGATTGAGGCAAGTTTTATAAAGCACTTTGAGTCAAGAGAAGAAAAGTGCTATATAAGAACCAGTCCATTTCCCATTTCACTCATTTACGCACACATTCATACTGCCATTTGTGCACTTACACTATATCCCATCCAGTGGCTGTTTGGCATGAATTATCTTCTCCAGGGCATTTCCACATTTGGACTGGAGGAGCCAAGGCACTGAATATGAGACATTTTAAAAACACTGCTTAACAAAGTTATATAAAAAGATATTTATACAATCAAAACAAAAAGCACAAATATTTTAGAAATCTATCAAAAATGAATTTAAAACTAGTATCTGTATTTAGCAGGGAAATATAGATATGAATTCACATGTTTTCTCTGGGGAGTCAAAAATGAATCAAGCTCACGCATGTGGACTATTAGTGTGTGATCTGGAGCTGTTTGTGATCTTTTTTCTTCAGTGTATTTTTCTATGTCTTTCATATTTATGCTACAGTTTTCGCAGGTTTTTATCTTGGAGAATATATATATATGTGTCTTGCGTTTTCTTTTCTGTGACATTTTAGTAACTATCTCTCTCTCTGTGCCTCCAACACCTCCAGGGGGGCAGTGGTTCACCTTTCTGCAATAATCTAGTCGGTACCAGAGAAGAAGATGACAGTGGGACCAGCTCACCAAAGGTAGCTTCGCTCTTACAGAACATGTCGTGTCATGCATAGCACGAATTATGTGCAAAACATTTTAGGCTAAAATCCATCCAAAAACTTGACATTGTAATTAGTGCTGACTTTATTGATATGAAAGCAGTTAAAATTAATTAAAGACCTCTAACCGGTGTAACTTGGCAGCACCAGCTGTCACTAGTCAAAGGCATCTTCCTTAGTTTTGGATAGAGCCATGGTGTTGTGACCTCTGGTTGTCACGCGTCCACAGATGGATAGGTCTGACATAGAGGATGGCCTGGAGGAAGGGGACCTCAACGCCGAAGGGGAAAACGAAAGAGACCAGGAAGAGTTCACTATGAACCCCAACCCCCTCAGCCAGCTGGACTTCTACCAAGCCAACCCCTTCGCCCGCTGTCAGTGTGACCGTATGTAACAAATTCAGAGGCTGAGCTACTATTGCTGTCGTGGATTTCAGACTTTGGCACTCCTTTTTCTAATTTACTTTGAAAGAGGTGACACGCATTGCTGAATTGGAGTGGGTATCCGTTCACTTTGCATTGCAGTACTGAAAAGTTGCATGTCTCGAACATCAACCTGGCCCCCAGACAGTTAAATCTGAATGAATGCTGTGCCAATGCATCTTTCCAAGCAAATCACTCAAGAGTGTGACTTTGTTTGCTTGGGTAGTTTGGCATCAATTTGAAGAAGTGGTTGATCATTGCAATACCTAATCTTCCTGTTAGAATATGAACATACTCAAGCGCTACGGCTACACTCAAAAGTGATGTAATTGAATTGTTTGAGGGTTAAGTGATTTGGCCTTAAGGTGGTAATTGGAACTGGACATGAACTATGGCAGCCAGAGGACTGGGAATCAGAACTGTTAAAATCCAGCCTCTGGGTTGGTGGAGACTACAGCTTTTTTTCTGTCAGAAGGGACAACTTAATTCATGCACAAGTAGAACTTTTCCCACTAGGACATCGGGCAGCTCTGATCCTGGGGCTGTGTATGTGGTTCAAACTCTGGAGTAGGAGAGGACTAGAGTAGGGGCTCAGAAAATAAACCAACCCAAGCTGGGCATCAAAACTCCTTCAACTCTAGGGACCAGAGGGAGCTAGGCTGTGACATCGTGGGATAAATGATGATTTTTTTTCTTTGGCAAACTAATCATATATGCTTTTGTTACCTTTACTTTTTGTTGCAGTGGTATTAATAAAGTACAGTGATTTCATTTCTTTTACACATGATTTATAGATGACCTCTTCAATGAAGACCTATTCCTTAAAACAGACTCATCTGGTGAGTTATAATAGACCACTAATCTAAACAGAACTTCACTTGACATGAAGAGGCTCTTGTTCATTTTGTTGTTTTGTTACTCAACTTCAATACTGTTCTTAGCAAAACGTACAAGTATAAACTCTTTAAATATTCTGATTTTCAGATGGCTTTGGTTCTGACCCTTTCAAAGGCAGCGACCCCTTCGCAGCAGATATTTTGTTTCCGTTGACGAATACTGCCACTGGTGAGAGCACAGGAAATGCCGGTGACGAAGCAGACACCAGTCTGTCTTGTGTTGAAAACAAAGCTTCAACGGGAACTCAGTGCTTTGAGTCAGAATTCCCAGATGAAGACAGTGACATAGAGATTAGCTACAGTCGAGAGGACCTGGACACCATTGCTATGGAAGATGATTCTCATGGATTTAAACCCATTCAGAGTTCGTCAGAGGAGCTGGGGCCAGAGCCTATCCGAGGGTGGCGTTCCCAGGGACAGTATTCTGTAGAATCTGACCCTAATGGGTATGAGCTCGATCTTGGTGCTGTCTCCCCACCCTCCGACATAGAAGAACATAGTCTGGGATCTCTGGCTGGAGAGGCTATTACTCAGTCATCAGCAGGATTAGAGCAAGGTAATTTATATTTTAGTCACACGCCCGGTTATCAAACATGACAGTTTTTCAGTTTTACTTTTTATTATTTTCATTTACAGTATCTCACAAACGTGAGTACACCCCTCACATTTTTTGTAAATACTTTGTTATATCTTTTTATGGGACAACATTGAAGATATGGCACTTTGATACAATGTAAAGTAGTCAGTGTACATAACAGTGTAAATTTGCTGTCCCTCAAAATAACTCAACACACAGCCACAAACTGCTGACAACAAAAGTGAGTACACCCCTAAGTGAAAATGTCCAATTTGTGCCCAATTAGCCATTTCCCTCCCTGGTGTCATGTGACTCGTTAGTGTTACAAGGTCTCAGGTACAAATGGGTAGAAGGTGTGTTGTCGCAAATGCGACCAAATTATTCAGTGGTGCAACTAAAAAAAATCCTAGGTCTCACCGGTGTGACCAACTTTTAGAGTAAATAAAATAAAATAAAATTCTCAGCAACTCTGAAAATCTCCGTGTGGTCAACAACTGACACACATTATGCGTGGTCGTGGTCTAAACCATCCTTAAATGGAAGGTGGAGGAGTGAAAGGTCTCTAACAACCACCAGATCCATGATGTCATCATGGAGGAGTGGAAGAGGATTCCCGTTAACAGAATTAAGGCAGTGTTGGAGAATAATGGTGGCCACACAAAATATTGACACTTTGGGCACAGTTTGGACATTTTCACTTAGGGGCATACTCACGTTTGTTGCCAGCAGTTTAGACATTAATGGTTGTATGTTGAGTTATTTTGAGGGGACAGCAAATTCATACTGTTATCCAAGCTGTACACTGACTACTTTACATTGTATCAAAGTGTCATATCATCAGTATTGTTCCATGAAAGGATTATGCTAAAATATTTACAAAAATGTGTCTCACTTTGGTGAGATACTGTGCATGTGCTTATACTGATGCTGGGAGTCAGTTTCCTGCTTAAGTGGTGTCTACTTTAATTGCTGACCGAGGAACACATTTCCATTACACAAAAAAGTTTCAGACTGAATTTCTTTTCTAAAACGGCAGCCGTCAGTGCTGCTCCTCAGCCTCCTACGCCTGTGGGATGAATGTGAAAATCCTATGTGGCTTTGAGGTGACGGTAACCAGGATTCAAACTCATCTGAGATTTTTAGTAGATGCACCTATACTATAAATTAGAACATTCTAGATAACGTCCTTTTTGAACTATCACATTTAGAAGATTTTCAGAAAACTTGACCTCTGACCTTGACCTTGAGGTCGAGGTCACCGGGATACAAACTTTAGAGAATTTTAGATGCCGATGGTTTCAGTTTGAAAATCCTACATCGCCTCGTTCTCGAGTTATCGCATTCACAAACTTGGGTGTCCACAGGGCCCACTCAGAGGCCTTTAGGGGAAAATATGCCCCCTATTGTTTTATATGTTGCATGTGATGAAAATTTAAATTAGTATCACAAATCTTTTTTCTGCGAAAATGGACTGACAGCATTTCTGGACATTGACTACGTTCGATTTTAGATGTGCAATTTTGAGCAGTATAATTGTCTTTATAAACTTTAAACCTTTGAATATTGTATTATTTCAGACTCTTTAGCCTGTAAGCTTAACGTCTTAAAATTGTGGTCTTGTAACTGCGTCATAATTCTATTCTTAACTACTCACTGTATATTTCTGCTAGGTGAGTGTCTTGGTTTGACTCAAGCTGTTGGCGAACCTGTCCTGTTGGAGCCAGGTTGGACAGGCAACAGAGAGGAAACGTTGCCCTGTGATGTCATTTACAGTCAGCAAACAGAACAGGTTAGGAACATCAAAGAAGAAATCCAAATCCCTGCTGTTCCACAGAACTCACTGGAGTCCCAGAACATTTTCACTCAGCCTGACTCACATCAGAACAGCCTTGAGTTGAACTATGAACCAACCAGTCAGTCTTCCTTTGACCCGTATGGCTTTAAACTCAGTCCAGAGCATTCTAGTCACACTCTTTTAGACCCTGATGAAGATGAGTTGAGTCCAGAACCTGCAGATGATGATCTGACCTTTGACCCTGAACCCTGCTCTTCTCAACATCAGCTGAACTTTGATGCCTATGGGTTTGACATTACCTCCTCCCAGATGACACGGGACTTTGACCCTTATGGCTTTAAGCTGAGCCCTCAAGAAGAGAACCAGGAAGTATTGGATCCCTGTGGCCATGACAACCAGGATGCAATAGACCGTTGTACCAATGACAACAATGAGCAAAGAAAGCTCTCAAGCTATAATAACCCAGAAATACTGAAACCTCATACCCATGAAAACCAAGAAGTGCTTGAAAATGATAGCCACAATAACCAGGAATTTCTAGATTTGTGTAATAATGGAAACCAAGAAGTGCTGGAACCATCTAGCCTCGAAAACAGGGAGGTGGTTAACCATAAAAACCAAGTCCTGGAACTCTGTAGTCACAACAATCAAGAAGTTGTGGACCTCTGTCGGAATAATAGCAGTGAGCAATTACTTGAACCTTGTGACTGTCATAACCAAGAAGTGCTGGAACCTCACAGCTTTGGCAGTCAGGACGTCCTGGACTTCTCCTATCCTAAAAACCAGGAAGTGTTAGATTTAGATAGCCATGGTAACCAGGAAGTTTTGGATTTTAATAGCAAGGAAAACCAGGGCGTTCTAGTATCAGGTAGCTACAATAAGCAGGAACTTCAGGAAAATCAGGAGTTACCTGACCAGGAGGGGTTGGACTTGTTGAGTACAGACATTTTGCCTGAAGCAAACAACATCCAGTGCATTCTGGAACCAGAACAGGATGTCAGTTCTGTTAATGACAGCTCAGATAGTGATGTGGCATCCGAAAATATGCTGGGACTGCAGCTCAGTAACCCCAGTGTCTGCACCTCGAATACCACAAATACTAGTACTTTAAACATGGCCATCAGTAGCATGTCTGCCAGCCAGGACCTTAATTCGTCTGCTGCCCTGATCCACCACAACCTTTTAGAAGGTGATCTCGGTTCAGTGTTTGGGGCTGGAGGATACATTGGATGTCCTGATGTAGCTGATGACCTAGAGCCATTGCAGAGAAGGCAGACAAACCCAGTACCAGAGCCAGTACGACCAGTTAGGCCTCCTCGACCATCTCTCAGGGTAAGTTGGACGTTATTTTTCTTAACTTATTATAGCATTAAATCGATGGCCAGTTAGTTTGATATATCCTGTGAAATCCTAATTTCAGGTTTACTGTCCTTTATTTATTTTTTGCTTTTATTTGGCCCATGATTGTCGACATTTTGTAGAACTTGGAGATTAAGAATAAATACCCAACATTTAATATTAATATAATTCAAGCCGTCATTAATGTGTTAGGGTTAGGGATTTATTTTTTAAATATGTTATGTGTTAAATTTGAACTTTGAGTTGAAATAATTACAACTGTAAATATTTCTCAAGAGTAGAACCAGGTATTTAGTCGTTTTAGCAAAGTTAGAAGTAGAATAGCATCCATTCACATTTTTCTGATCTAATACTTTGTGACTATCTGCTAATACACATCAATGTTTCAGTGTTAATAAGCCGTTTTCCTCATTGTGAGACCATAACTACTGTATATCTGGCTCCATTTGAACACCTGACTTAATCCTAAGAGACTACATTTACTGGATTGTTGGTATTTATTTGTGAAATAATAAATGAGAATCGGATAAATACATGAAACAAATATTTTTGGATTGATTGATCCAATTTAACTGTCAGACTATGAATTGGCTCCCCAATATTCCATCCAGGTTTTGAACCAATATTTGATCCAAATGTCGCATCATTGCATCCCTAGCTAGAATTATAGTTGTTCTGTTAGTCAGCTATTCCATTAAACTGCTCCAAAGTCCGAAACCTTTCAAACTTCTTACAACGTTGAGATGAAAAACATTTCTTGTAGGGGTTGGACAATATGCCAAAAGTTTCCATCCAACAGCCAGAAATTGTTGATATATTTATTGTTGGTTTGTGGTGCCATGCATACATGTTTTTCTTTTTGTACTGAACATTAATTCTGGTTTCTTTGGCTAATGGTTTGCACCACTACTAAAGTGCCTGCTGAACAGCCCTAAACCTATCTTAAAGAAAATATTTTTTCATTTTGTTTGAAGTTCAAATGATTATTTAAAATAACTGTTAAAAGTCAGCGTGCCTCTCGAACTGCTTTGTGCATAGAAAATTATATTTAAAAAAAAAAAAACATCTACTTAAAAACATCTACTTTCATGTGTTTTAGGCCAAGGACAAGGCCCAGTCCCAGACTCAGGTCATCGATTTAAAGTGATCTCTCACCATGAAACATTCAAGTGAGGTTTACTGTGTCAGCACGGTTCCTGTGATGACAACAAGGCAAGAAGTGAAGATGATAAGGAATAAAGTACGACAAAGGGAAATGCAATGGAGGAAAAATGACTAAAGAGCTCATTCTGGTGTTAATTATCACAGTAAATTAGTTCAGGTTAATCAGAGGAGAAACAATGGAAGGCAAGATGAAAAAACTACCAGGAACCAAATGATAAAAAAGATTTCCTGATTATTATATTAAGAAACATGATTTTATCCAGTTTTTTATTTACATCTGTCAAGGTTGCACACGACTGTCTGACCTACTATCTTGTCTTTTTATGATTTGATGAACTGAAGAAGGTTTTGACGGACCTGACTGGTCTGAAGTGCAAATAATGTCCATGTTTGTGATGTGACATACAGTAAATATTAGGACATATGTTACAAGACTTCAAATAGATAAACTGTATATAAATGATACAATGTAATCTGCTGTTGTGGTTTTGAGATTATCTATCCAATTAGTAGTTTAGATCTAAGTTGCATATGAACTGTAGAGAGTTTATAGTCAGATTTACCAATGAGCGCATATCCACGCTCACAACAGTGTTTTCACACATCATTTAAGAGGCTCCTTAAAGAGAAGCAGTGGTTCACTGCCATTCTAGGCTGGATTCTTCAGTTTCACCAGTGACAAAGCACGACTGATGGCTGTGGTCAGGTGTGTGCTTTGTTACATGTGTAGCACGCTCAGTAGTGATGCGATGCCACCCATGTTTATAATTGGACTGTAACTGAAAAGATGGCCACTTCATTCTTTGTTCCAATTTCATACTGCACACTAATGCTGAAAATAAAAACTATGCAGGGATTTTGGTTGTGTACTGTTAGTTAGGCAGTTACAGACGTAACTACCTAACTAACAGCGCAGGCTGCCAATTCTTTCTTTTGTTTGGTAGCAACAAATAAAAAAGCAGCAAAGCTGTGTCCACCCAGGAAATGTGGGTGTGGTTTGGTGAGCAATGAAAGTCAGCGACATTGTCTGACTTCAAGTGGCGATGGGCAAAAAGCCCAGGATGAACTTTTCTCATGTTGGAGGCCACTGGAGTGACTGACATTTGTAAATGCATGAGGTCACCTAGGCAACCACAGCCTGGAGCGTCTACTAGTGATCAAAGCGATGCATGAGGGGAGCGCTGGGGTGGGGACACAACACCAAAAGACAGATAGTTACATCTGAGTGGAAGACTATTGCCTTCTACTGTTGTCAGCAGTAGTAAGCTCTTGTATTTTTGTCTCTCCCTCGTAATGTAATTAATTTTACTACTGCTGATATTTAACCCTTGTGTGGTGTTCGTATTTTTGTTACTCAGCCAGTGTTCATGGGTCTGGTGGACCCGCTAGAGTTTTGGCTTTCCAAATTAACACTATCAAACAATTTTATGTTAAATTACTCAACAGATGTTTACTTCATCCCCATTACAAGACATATGAACAGCAAACATGGTTAATTTTTTCCCTTTACCTTTGTTAGATCACATTTATGAATTAATGTGCTTCTCGTTTTTCTTTTATATAAAATGTTATAAATAAATCAGTTATAATCAAGTGGAGTGAGTGGAAAGACACAACACATTTACACGTGAAAAAATAATTAATTGTTAAATTTTTCTTTTGAAAAAAACTGAACACGGGTCTCACAGACCCGAACACCATACAAGGGTTAAAGACACCAGTACAGAAGTACTGTATGTAACTTTCAGAAAGCAGTTTTTTCTGTCCAGCAGCTTTTTATAGCACTGCCAGTGAAACTTTATGAAGTAATTAAGATGTGTTTTCATTTGTGAATGGCGCACACAAAGTCGAGCAGATTTACAGTGGTAAGACAGATCTGAGCATTTCATTGGTGTAAACATCTTTGCTTAGGAATGGTCTGAAGCGTGGAACCAGGACACAGCGAGGGTAAATGTGGAGTGGGTCTGGCACCGGTGCCGCTGTTACGCTGCCCATCCGGCAGTTTCTTCCACACAGGTCTGATAAGTTTACTGTGATCAGACTAAAGTAGTCAGAACCAACAGCCAGAATACAAAGCAGAAATCTGTGAGCTGATCATTTTCTGTAGGTTAATCACTCCCAGAGACCTCTTTGACACTGTTATATCATTTTCAGGTTATAATTAGATATCTAATTATATGTAAAACACTGTTATTCCTTTTGATTGTACCCACACAAGGTCACACGCACAACTGCTTTTTAACAAGTACATGATATTTACTGGTATGGTAGCAGAGCATCAGTGTAACCAGTTCATTAGGCAGTTCAGAAATGGCACATAGCGCTTTATTCCTCTGAGCACCCGAAGCCTGTTCTACTGCAAGCGTCATTTAACCATTTGCACTCACATTCACACAAGCACTTTCTTTACACCTGAGAGCTTTTCTCTAACAGTCACATGCACATTGAACTTGGGGTTCAGTGTTTTGCAGACTGGAGGATGAAGTCATCAGTCTTCCTCCTGAGCCAACCTGAAGTACAATTCCAAAAAGTTTGCATGCTGTGTAAAATTTAAATAAAACAGAATTGGCTCATCTTTATTCCTGATAGAACACAGAAAGCATATCAAATGTTTAAATGGAGAAAACATATCATTTTAAGAGAAATATGTAATATTTTAATTTGATGGCAGCAGCACATCTCAGAAACAGGGTCATGCTTCCCACTCTGTAGACTTTGGGAGAGGAATGCTGTCCCATTCTTGTCTCATAGAGATATTTTTCACTTTATGATGCTCCACCAGCTGGTAACAGCAAGGACTCTTCTACTATGAAGGCTTTCCATGAAACACATGCCATCTGGATGGGAGTATATGCTGCTCTAAAACTGCCAACTCCAGAGGCACTGATGCACTGCCACACCATCAGAAACGCAGGTTTTTGAACTGAGCACTGACAGCAAGTTGGATAGTCTAGAAGACGCAGTGTCCATGTTTTCCGATTTCAAATTAAAATTTCTTCACTTTGCTTCAGTCCATTTTAAATGAGCTTTGGTCCAGAGATGGTGGCACTGTGGTGTGTGTGGACAACACAGTGAGCTGTGTTCACAGACAGTGATGCTGGAAGTGTTCCTAAGCCCACGCACTGATTTCATAACAGGATCGTGTCTGCTTGAGGACCTGAAGATCAGCTGCATCTAATGTTGATTTTCAGCCTGGTCCCTCATGCAGAGATTTCTCCAGATTCTCTGAATCTTCTGAGCTTATGACTTTGGATGATGAGATATTCACAGTCTTTGCAACTATTTGTTGAGGAACATTATTCTGAAATTGCTCTACAATCTTGTTGAAGCACTTTTTTGCAGATCTCTCTCTCTCAGATGTTCTCTTTTTCCCCCAGTCCTGTTACTGACCTGTCATCAGTTTGTCTAATTACGTATAAAATGTTTCTTTTTTGTGTCACTTACTTTTTCAGCCTTTTGCCGCCCCATCCCACCTTCTTTGAAACATGCTGCTGCCATCAAATTCAAACTGATTGTTTTTACATGGTACATGATATTTATCATGAGTGTGAGTCTACCTTTGCATGGCACACTCAGCAGGCACTGATTGAACCTTTCAGTTCACACAAAGCTTCAGTTCAGCCTACCTCACTCTTTTACCATGATTTCATGACAGCAGCTACACCCATTAAAAGCAAGTATTCCATGACTTTCATATTTGTAGATATGTACATGAACTCGCATTTTCTTTTGATTGTACAATGGTACACATCATATAGCAAAGACATTAAAGTGAAGTCCCACATTCCACCTGCTTCAAACGAGATGCTTCCACTGAATAACTAGAATGGTTCCATTGGAAATGGAAGAAAACACAAGCTGGTTCACGAGTTAACATCAAGGGTCTAATCATTTTAAACAGAACCAGTTAAAGAGCCAGAGCTAATTTAATATAAAAGAGTCAGTGAGACCCCGAAGACCAGCCTTCGTCACCTTACCTTATATTCAAAGTTCTTACTTCCAGTTAAAGGATTACTGATGTGTCCCAAAAGTGCATCCTGTTCATCTGGACATTTTCAGTGGGAGAAACGTTTCGTCACTCATCCAGGTGACTTCTTCAGTCTCAGCTGACTGCAGGTTTCCCCAATCTTATATACAGTACATTTGCACAATGAGTGAAACTAGCACCACTGAAGGAACAGTGGGCTGGGAGGTCAGTTCCTGGATCATTAATATGCAAATTGTCATGACCACCGATCAATGGCCATGAGTCCCATTCACAGAGAGTTGGGGAATGGCATGCATCGAGACATTATTGACGTGCGTTTTGCAGTTTTCCTATGCATTTTGGTCTTTTGTCCATGGAAACCATGTGGGTGCAGCATAATGTGAGGGTACACACCTTTAAAGGATATTTAGATCTAATGTGTGTTTCTGTATCATTTAGTATCAAGTTATTGGCAAAATCTAAAATTGACAAATCTACTAGCGTGAATCACAACACTTCATATACAAGCACAGTGCTCCATGTATTTGCTTTGTTCAAATGTACAATCATGTGTAAAGAAAACAGAACATTTAGAAGACTTATTTTGTTCATTTGTTGCATTTTGGAACATAATTAGTTACATACACAACACTAAAATAACAGTTTGCACACTGCCAGCCTGTTACACACAGAAACTATGACGTATTGAGCATGGTCTGCTGCAGAAAACTGGATTATCTTTTTCAGACAGCTGGCTAAAACTATGCTGTCTCAAGCTAATAGACTGTAAACCTAAGCTGCCCGCTGGAAGCTCAGCTTCAACAGCAGTTTCCTGTCTGACTGCCGCCCCCTGACTCATCCACCAGTGGCTGTACTGACGGATGAGAGTGCATTGTACCATGATGTGCTTACAGTTAAGCATATTCCATATAAAGTAGTCTCACACATACACAAGCATGCATCATTACAACCAGTAACATGTGATTTAAGATGGTGCTGCATTGTATCTTATGTGATAAAAAGCAGGTTTACTCAAAATGTCAGACTTTTTGTGGTGTAATCAAATAGCAAAACTGGAGCTCCACAGTGTGCCAGCTGTTAATTCGTTATCCATTCATCTTTGGCCCAGAACCTGCCCTAATTCTTGTGTGGATGTGTGAAGATTTTTGTAGTTATGCATATAAACTTACCTCAAATGTTAGAAACATATGCGTGTCACAGCTACCCATGTCAAATAAAAGTGAAAGTCAGTTTCTGAGTTTGAAAAATTGAATGATGCAGTCAAAATAATGTCGTCCTCACAATGTGAAAACCTAAAAAGAAGAATATCTGCAAACATGAGGGTATTGTTCTAAAATGCATTTGTGAATAACTGTAGTGATAAATCTGAAGGTGGTAGAAGCTTTGCTGACCACTTTGAACAGTTTTCTTCTCCGCCTGGAGAATGGATCTCAGTTCTGATAGTCTCATGGAGATACATATTAATATGGACTATCTGTCAATAACATAATTTAGCAAGAAACATTTATCAGTAGAGTTTAAGTATCTTAAGTATCTGCAGGTGGAGCCGTCGTCCTGCTTAAACCATGTTTTGTTTTTTACTCTCCCAATAAGCTACGACATCTTTCATTAAAAATTTCTACTTTATTGCTACTAAATTATCCACATGTCAGGAGGAAATCTCAGCAGACTGCCACTCTCCAGGGCTAAAGTATGTTTTAATCGATTGCCAAGGTAACATCCAAAAAAAGCAAAAATGCATCACTGTACATAGACACATGTAGCGCACACTAAAATGACAAGGTCTGCAATCAGTTTTATTATATACACAGATAGCTGTCCATATCTCTGATTTAAAATATCTATATATTCATTTTACCAGCTGCTTTTATTACCCACACAGGATGGGAATATTACCCAAAGCATTGGCAGAGCTCTTCTACTGTTCAGAGAGGCAGACATCAAGTTCCCTGTGGAGCTTTTCATTCTTTGCAGCGTTGAATGACGTGTTTTCTACGATGTATATGTGTGTGCTCCAAAGCCATGGTCGAAGGACAGCATATTCAGAAGAAATTGTGCGTTTTGTCATGATGCAGCCGTGGTTTATTGTGATGATGATTCATTTATGTCTAATGTACAATTTGGTGTCTTAAATGTGTGATGAAAAAACTAAGAAATAAAAGTCATCTGCAAGCCATAATGTGGTCTGCTTTTCCATCTCTATTGTCTGTTCCTGCTACCAATACAAAGCGAGAACGATCAGATGACCCCTGTGAGTCAGCACTTGGCAATGGTGGGAAAAAGGAACTCCCTTTTTAACAGGAGGAAACCTCCAGCAAGACCGGGCTCTGGGAAGGGCAGTCATGAGCCAGCACCAGTTGTGGGGTAAAGAGGTGCGTAGTGAAAGGATAAGATTGGATTGATAAAGAATTTGGAGAAGATGTTTTATTAATTGTGCTTTGTAAGAAAGAATTGTTTCATATTTGTAACATTTTTACCTTCTGATATTCATAAATCAAAGACTATGTGTCACAATTATCCTCTTTTTTCCTGTTCTGAGGCAATTCACAGACAATTTCAAAGACAAGGATGGAGCGCTTCTGTTCAGCCAGGTAGGGAGCCAGTTCTGCTGTAGCGCCTTTGAATCTGGCCTCAATGTTACATAGTGAGAGCTGAAAAAAGGATCTGTAACTGCATCTACTGACACATGGCTCCAGCGTAGGAAGCGCTGGATTCCTGGTGCTGGGGCAGGCCAGCTGGGCCCAAGACCAGTCTTTGTTTACTGGAAATGAGTACAATGGATACAGGAAGGCCCACCAGCAGTGGCTGTTGGCAGAAGTACGAAATTGATGTTTCTGCTACATTTGGGATCTGAGTGATCGATGAGATGAGATAAAAGTAGTAAAGTAATCTTCAGCTTTTATTTAACACTATTTATATACAAATAGAATAATCCATGGACCTTTTGTCTCCCCCCACTCGTGAGAAAATAGCTGCTAAATAATCCACTGTGTTCACTAACCACCAGTGGTGAATTATAAGACCTGGACATTCAAATTTGAAACATAATGGGTCAAAAAGAAGAAAAAGGCAAAAGATTTGGCTCAGACACACAAATATGTTGGAAAGTCTTCCTAAGTAACCCCTGACAAAACAGCACATCAAACTGATGCAGATATGACATCAAAACGAACTTCACAGCTTCAATTACCAGCTGTTCGTCCATCTTCTTCTACTTAACCATTTCAGGGTCACAGTGAGCAAGAGCCTAACCAAGGTGTAAGGTTTTGCAAGGAGAAATGAGAGACAGACAACTATTCACACGTATGGGCAATTTAGATTCACCAAACTTAACCCCAATAACTGCATGTCTTTAAACTGTGGGAGGAAGCCAGAGTACCCAGAGAGAACCCACGCAGACATGACGTGAAAGGACAGGCTCCAGCCAGATGCTGGATTTAAACCCAGGTGCTAACCACCCCACCACTGTGCTGCACATTTACCAGAATATTTGTCAAACTGTTTGCTTTTTCTATCATCTTAAACCATTTAAACGTTTTTTACAAATGAAGATTACAGATAAACTGTGATTGTGACTTAATGATATATTTCAGTTACTTTAGAAAAAGAAATGTTGTTTAATGAAAATTACTCTACAGCCAATGAGCTCCATGCAAACGCATGGGTTGGACGCAGGTTCCGCCAGAAGACAAGCTAATAAATGATGCCGTACTTCAGGCATGAACATTCTAATAATCCAGTCATTTAGACACAAATCACGACTTTGCTGTAGCAGACTGGTTTTGGTTACTGTTTTCCTGATGTACCCGATGATCACACAAATGAAAGGACAAACACTGGTGAATGTGAAAGACCAAATTCTTGATGAAGTCTTTCACTTTCAGTGTCAACTAAATAAAGAACTTGAATATGAAATACAGAAATAATACCCATAATACAGTGTAAACTTGGTTTCAGAGAGCAAACTTAACCCAAGCACTTTACACTGGTGCTGATGACTGAGACATTTGCAGAGTTTTGTTTCTCTGGCGACAGCAGAGGACGGTCACCGTGACGATGACGATGAGGACTGTTAACATGATGAAGCCTACACCAACCCATGCTCCAACACTCAAATCTGCAGAAAGAACGAGGGTCACTGTTAAATAGACTGGTTCTACCTGAGCACTCAAAGTGCTTTATACAACATGCCTCACACACACACACACACACACACACACACACACACACACACACACACACACACACACACACACACACAC